TATCAATTACTTACACAATTATTCACACAATGAATGAAGTGAAAAAACTCTTCAACGCCTTTAAGTTCCGAGAATTATTATTAAGTAAGCGATGCAAGAAAGCAGCATAAGAAATTATTTCTTGAGGTAACTTACAGTTTTCCTCGGTGTCTCCGGACTCTACCCTACGAGCGCATTCTTCAAGATGATGCTTTAGGGGTGAGCAAGCCGGAGTACTGCCACATTCTGTGTGCGAGATAATTTGTTAGCAAATTTCACACGTTTTTTGAACATTCGTTGACATGAACTGATTTAAACAAAGGAGGGAGATAATACCCTCTTCGATAGCTGGTTTTTGATCTTCAATTTCTTCATGTTCTTCGGGTTCTTCGCTAGCCTCTGGTTCCTCGGCACGAGCGACCGAACTTTCTTCTTGGGTTATGATTTGAGTCATTATAATAATGATTCACTTAAAAAATGGTAAAATCTTGTACGTAATTTTTTTTTATTACATCACGAGTATTGTAGTACCGAACCGAACATTCGGTACAATGTACAAACATGTGCAAGCTCAGCGAACCTTTCCAAAGTTGCAGGCATGAACGAAGAGGACTTAAACCATAAACCACAAAATAGGGAAAGCTTTCCACGTTCATTATATCTGGGTCTCGACCCCTCCCAGTATCAAAGTTTTTCAATAAATAGTGCACTCGAAGGAAATCAAATTCGACAGCAGACGGAACAGACAGGCTTAATTTCCGCGCGGAATCGTGTTTGCGCCTTCTTGAAGCAGCATTCTTCTTATGACGTCTTACCTGTTAGCTATAGAATAATAGTATTAGACACTAGCTTGCTTGTAAAAAAGGCTTTGGCTGCATTGATGCAGAATGGTAGGATTTTTTTATTGTTTGAAATGTTGACCTTTCACCTGTAAAAGAAAATTTCGCATATCTTTGTTTCGACAAATTTTCTTGCAGGAGTTGTTTCGGCACCACTTTGGGATTCCACCAATCAAAAATTTGCTGGAATGCTTACTGTATCTGACTTCATTAATCTAATACAGTATTATTACAAGCATTCGTCTTATTCTGTTGCATTGGAAGAAATCGAACAATTTCAGATACAACAATTGAGAGGTAAATATCGTGGCATGGGTTTTTTGAATGAGACTTGCTATTATTATTTATGATTTTACATCATTCCCTGATGTTCAGATGTCGAGAGTCGTTTAGGTTCGCCTTCACCTCAACTGATGTCCATACATCCACTAAAATCGTTATACGAAGCATGTAAATTATTAGTGGAGGCACATGCACATCGGTTACCTCTAGTCGATGAGGATTCAGAGACCGGACAGGAGACAATTGTATCCGTGTTGACGCAGTACAGAATCTTGAAATTTATCGCTATGAATGTAAGACACATCTTGCCTTTTGAACCGTGCGGATCACGAAGAATTACAGGCTAACATCACGCAATGCGTCGCGTTTCATTGTTTTTCAGTGTAAGGAGACGAAAGACCTGAGGAAGCCATTATCAGAAATAAAGATAGGAGTTTACGAAAACATTGCTACCGCGAAGATGTCAACGCCTGTCATAGAAGTTGTTAATCTTTTCGCAGAAAGACGAATATCGTCGGTTCCCATAGTGGATGACAATGGTAGGACGCGATATATTTCAGATTGGGTGTCGCCATACGCGATCGTTCATGGATAATGTGATTTCCATTTAGGGACCGTGTTAAATGTATATGAAACGGTTGATGTGATGGCAAGTAACTTTTACTATCTTGTAGATCATTTACACGTATTCTAATTCGCGCTCTCTTTAAGATGTTGGTTAGGGCTGGTGCATATGACGGAATGGATCTTCCGGTCGGTGAGGCAATGTTGAGAAGAACCGAGGTATCGATTCTTTCGTCTGTCTTGTGATGATGCATGCACTCTTTACAAGTCAAGTAAAATGCGATTCCTTTCCATCAGGATTTTCCCGGGGTTCACACTTGTACTCTCAATGATTGTCTTAATTCAATGTTTGATTTGATAAGAAAGGCACCAGTACATCGTCTGATCGTGGTAGATTCGGAAAATAAGTTGAAGGGAATAGTATCGCTATCAGATATTATGCGTTATCTGGTATCCTAATAAGTTTAGAGATGTCAAAATTATTAATTTAATTTCTCGCACTGTATTTCATGTAAATTGTATTTGTTAATAAATTCAAAAGCCCTTTACCGTTTTGCCGTTTACGTAATGTGATACCCAGTGATGTCATGCTACCTCGTCGGCTGCGTGATAATTTACTATAAAAAGAACGCCAAATGCAAGGAATGAATTCGATTTTTTTTTTTTTTTTTTTTTAATTTCGTTCCCCTGTAAAAATGATAACGTTGGTCGCGGGAGCTTGGATAACGTATGCCGTAATTATCGGCGTAAGTATGAAATGAGTTTTCACAATTTTGAATTTTCACAATTCGCTTATATCTTTATAAATTATCTTTATAAATTCTTTCCGTTCCTTTACGCTTCACGTGGTTCCATTACTGCATTCCCTTGTTCGATAATTCGTTCGTCGTAACTCAGCTTCTTTTCATTTTCAGTATTCTTTTTACCAAATATTATCAAGACAAACGCGATAGCGAACTCTTGGCTACCGTGGTCACTATTTTTTCGATAACCTTGTGTTTAGGCACGATAGCGTTACTTCCGGTGGACATATTTTTGGTCTCTTCTACAACCAACCCAGATACCGGTCTAAAACACTCATGGGCCACCAAAGAGCAGGTTGATAGCATTGTGGGTGAACTAAAGTTTGTTTATTATGGTAGGCGGGATGTTATTCTAAAATTCAAAAAGTTCATATTAGTTTCCTCACGAATCGTCTGCTTTTCAGGAATGTACGGTTTAATTGCGGTTTTTTGCGCGGTCCTCATTCCTTTTGCGTATTTTTACTTTGAAGAACTCGAAGAGGATGAAACAAGTCAACAACGCTTCTTAGGGGCGTTGAAATATACCGCGTTCTTTATAGCATTCATTTTTACTTGTTTGATCTTTGGCATTCTTATACAGCCACAGGAGAAAACACCAATTGACTTGGACTTTTTCAGAAAGCTGTTGACCGGAAGCAGTAAGTTTTTTTGAATATCATTTTGACACAGGCGACGAGTTAAGCAATTGATTTTTTTTTTTTTTTCTTTCAAGTGGGAGAAAGGAGCATTTCGTTCGTGATGGCGGTTCTCATGATCGTGGGAATGGCGGTGTCTATTACTTACACTGTAAGGATGTTTGCGTGATAAATTATGATATGTTTGAAATAATAGTCGATATATATATATATTCCATCGATAGGCTCCCGGGCTTTCCCTTCTCCCAATTGGCATGATCAAAGGAACGAAACAGTACGATACTTTAGAAAATGCGGAAATTGTCAATAATCTTGTTCTTAATCGCGAGAAACAAAGGATTATCAGAGCGAAATATCAAGGTTCCAACAATGCAATGTCAAGAATTGATACCAAGGAAATGGAAAAGTTGCAAACTGAAGAAAAGTGCGTCGATGTTTTTTCTTAGCCTTTATCGAAGTTGAGCACATAATAACCTTTTTCTCAGAATTTTGGTCCGTCAGTTAAGAGAATCCGAGGCTTCTCGAACTGGAATATGGAACAAGATTTTATATATCTTGAGACCATTTGAGGTAAATACAAATACATCTTTCTCTCTCTCTTTTATTCCTGTTATCTTACGTGATCCGGTGATAGTTTGTAGGTGGCATCATATTGCTTCTTCTGACGGTTGGGATCGTGCTCTCCGTGTTCTTGACCTGGTATGTCGGAATATTCTGATTCGATGCGAAGCGATTGATAAATAAATCAATCAAACTCCATTTATTTTTTTTTCTTAATAGTATTGACAAGATCAAGAATTCAGTGTGTGGAAAGGACTGTGGATATATCATTAGTCATTCCGAGATATTTAACCCCCTTAATTATATCTTCGTCCATTTATCAAAAGTAAGCTCACGTGTGTTTATCTCATTACACACGATTCTTAATGTTTTTTTTTTCCTTCCTCAGTATTTCCCGGTCGATTACTTTTTCGCCGTCCTCTTGATCCTTTATTTCTTCAGCAGCACCGTGGTTGGCGTCGTATCAATTGGAATTCGCTTTTTATGGATTCATCTCTACAAGATTCGCAGAAGTGCTACCCCACCTCAGGCATTACTTTTTGCCGCAATGGTACTGATGATGAGTTTGTTAGCACTGAATTATACCCTAACAATGGTGGTGGCTCCACAATACGCACAATTTGGAAGCCAGAAATATGTGAGTTCGTGGTTTGGTGTCATCATTAGAGGTGCTCTTCAGAGTATATATCATCTAATCTGCTCTCAATGGTTTCTTAGTGTAACCATACTGTCGGGGAAGTGCGTGATTGTCACGATTATCCGCAACTGATTATTCCTTGTGACGTCACCGCACCAACAGGTAAAATTACCAAATTCATCTAAAAGTTTTCAATAATCATGACCTAACCTTTTTATACTCGATAGATATTTGTACGCCGACCATAACTTCTACATTCCTTCATCGTATAATGATGAATACTCCGTTCTTTGGTGTCGTATTTTACTATGCTCAGTGGGCATTTTTAGCTGTGGTAGGGGTTGGAATCATCTGGTCACTGATTAGATCGCCTGGCAGGGCATATGATGACGGTGCACTCGAGGAGGAAGAAGAAGGGTTATTGAATTCTTCCAGAAATAGAAATAACCAACAATAATTATTTTTATGATATTTGGGAATTGATGTACACTATTATTGATAACTTCCATATGTTGTATAATATGAAATAAACAAGATCCCGGAAATTCGCGTAGTTAGCGTTAGGATAATTTATGGGTCACGATTTTGCATTACCTGTGTAATTATCCTTTAATCAACAAATGACGACAAGTTCCTGCTGTTAGTTTAAGTCAAACATACGATGTTTCAAGTTACGATCTTTCACTCGACTGTTATTTATTTCGAGCGGACTTATATATATTAAGTCAAATGTTTTTTTTTCTTTTCTTTTTAAATTAAATAATTCTAATTTAATGGTTTTGTTTTATAGGAGATTTCTTTGTTCAAGGTAAAACGATGTACTTGTGCAAATGTTCTGGAATGGCGCTGACGAGCCCTTTGCTCTCTAGCCATTTACGACCTATGTTGCAGATGGGATGGTAAGATTGGGTAGTACAAATCAATCATTACATAAAAAATTACTTA